TGGGGAAGCAGGCATCATGGACCAGGGGCCTCGAGGGCAGAGCGGGCCCATGATAGGGAAAGCTTACTCAGGTCAGAAACAACCTTCCTTTTCCAAAGACAGCTTCACAGGTACCACAAAATTGCAGTACTGCCCTCTTTCCTCCCCCCAGTTTGTATGTGTAACACCCACTGAAGACTTGGGTGGGCAGAGAGCAAAATGCACAGGACGGTGCAAACACTGCATGCACCCCGACTCCTGCGGCTAGCTCTGCGCTCTCCCGTCCAGCTTCCACCATGCTGCTGGGCCCGGCTCTTTTTTTGACTGCCTTTCTCCTCCCACTCACCCTCCTGCTCACTGGCACCCTTAATTCCTACCTTCCTTTGCTGGAGAGATTAGCTGTGTCCCTGTCTCTTAGCTGATGCCTGCAGGAGCTCCTCTCTACAGCTAAAGTGGGCCCTAACACAGTTATCTAACACATGTCAGAACCCTGGTTGTTTCTCTGGGCCCAAGTTGCATTCCATGCTTCCTTCTTTTCTGCAACAGGGTTCACTCTAGTCCAAGCTGGCCTCAAGCTCACGGCAATCTCCTTGCCTTGACCTCCAAAGAGCTGGGAATAAGGCCTGTGCCATACACCTGGCTTTCCCCAATTGTTTCTCCTTCTCTCACACTTCTTGTGTGGAGGACCACCTGGAAGACTCTCCTTGAAAGGAGAGTAACTGTCTCCATTTTGGATAAATGGCTAAAACTGGCCTTATTTCCATGTACTGATATGTGCAGAGCTGGCTAAGTTTTGTCTCTAGCCCCTGAACTGGCTTCAAGCAAGGCAAATGGGTCTAGCTCAGGTGCTGGTGTGTAGCCATTAACGCAATGGGTCAGGGAAAGCCTGCCTATAGCTGCTAAAGAATATGTGTGACCTGGGCTGAGGGTCACCATGCTGTCGCTGACAACTGAGAACGAGCCTCAAGAACAGAGGCTCTGGGGCTGGCGCGCTAGTTCAATGGACTAAGGCACCTGCTTAGGTAAACTTAGGCAAGCGCAGGCATGGCGGTTTGATCCCCAGCACCATATGCCACGACATCCTTGCCCCCAGGGTGGGCTGAGCTGGCCACTGAATACAGGCATAGTGGTGTACACCTGTAATCCTAGTGCTGGGGAGGCTGAAAACAGGAGGATCACTATGAGTCAGAGCTGTGTTGTGAGACCCTGTAACAACCAAATACATCCTTCTCATACTTCTCATGGCTTGAAAAATTACACACCAAAACCTAAACACCCACTCCAAGCGCTAGACACTGTCGCATCTGCGATGTGCAGATCACGCTTCCAGCAACACCTGTCTCTCTGCACTCTGCAGACATGACTTCCGGCCTCCTCTCCAGTCCAGCTCCCAGCACTCAGGCACTTCCTGCCACTCCCAGTCACTCATCTCCAAGCCACTCCCTTCTTCTTGAATTAATAAAATCCAGGTTCAGCCCTTGGGCGAGGCCTTTGTCCTGACTGGACTTCAGACTCCTTGGCTCCCCACAACTGCAAATATGGCTTAATGTCTTTATTCTTGCCGTGCATTACACTAGAAGTGACAGACTGGGATTAAATTATTAGAATTCTGGTCACTTCTTTTTTCTTTCTTTCTTTCTTTTTTTTTTTTTTTTTTGGCGTAACTGAGGATTGAACTGGGGCCCTTGCGCTTGCCAGGTAAGTGCTTATTCTACTGAGCCATCTCCCCAGCCCCCACTTGTCACTTTTCCATGGCATTACCAGTGTGGATTTTTCTGGTCTAAGACCAGGTCCAGAAGGGCTTGCTATGTTCCTGTATCCTGATTCTGTCTCTACAGACACGTGTCCTCCACCCACTGGCCATGTCTTGCCTGTCTGGTGTTATCCACTCTCTTTTATGCATCTCCTTCGTCTTGCAGCTACCAACTCTTGGCCAGTCACCAGTCAGTCTTCGAGAGGATGGCAGCGAAGAGAGAAGCTGCAGCCCACACCGGAATTGGACGTCCTCCTACGGGTCTTGCTAAATGGGACAGCAAGCCTTTTGTTGTTCTGCTTCTGGTGCTAGCAGGTCATCTGTGGCCACCATGACCTCCAACTTTAGGAATTCAAGCCATAGGATCCCTTCCCCTCAAGGCGGCTGAGACCTATGCCCTGCTGCTGACCATTATGATGTCAAAGGCGGGTGGGCATGCCGATGCTCAGCTGTAATCCCAGCATCAGGGAGGCAGAGGCAAGAGGATCTCAAGTTCAAGGCCAACTTGGGCAACTTAACAAGACACCCCAACTCAAAACTAAAAACAGGGCGGGGGACGCAGCTCAGTGCAAAGGCACCGAGTTCAACACAAGTACTACATACACACACGGAAACTATGGAATTTCTCTCTCTCTTTTTTTTTAGGAGCTGGGGCTCAAACCCAGGGCCTTACACATACCACCAGGCCAGTGCTTTGCCACTGCACCACTCCCCTATCACTCTGCTGTCTGGATTAGGCGGCCTTGCTTGGCACACATGATGGAAAGAGAACATCCCTTCCACGGTGACATGCTATAGAAGACGTTATTGTCATGAAGAAGCAGCTGGCCACGCTGTGAACTCCCAGTGGAAAGGGTTATGTGGTGACAACAGTGGGCAGCTGTAAGGTGACCCCTGGTCAATGCCAAAAAGAAACTGAAGTTGCCAGCAAATCCCTGCAACCTGAGCATGCTTGTCAACAGATTCCTCCCAGCTGGACCTCCAGATGAGAACATGGCCTAGCTGAGGCCTGGGATAGAGCCCATGAGAGCCGACAGCAGGGCCCAACTAGCACACCCAGGTTCTTGGCCATGAAACTAGGGAACGATAAATATGTTTTGTTTGTTTTTTTCTCTTTTACAGACAGGGTCTCACCATGCAGTTTAGGCTGGCCTTGAGCTCACTTTGTAGCCTGTAGCCCACACTGGTCTTCAACTGGCAATGATCCTCCTGCCTCAGCCTCTGGAGTGCTGCAATTATAGATGTGCACCACCATGCCAGGCACTTTTTTTTTTTTTTTTTGAGACAGGTTCTTGCTACGTATTCCAAACTGGCCTTGGCCTTGCTACATTGCCCAGGCTGGCCTCAGACTTGGGATCCTTCTGCCTCAGCCTCCAAGTAGCTAGGGTTTAGGCGTGCACCATTGCACCCAGCTGAGAGATGCAGGGTTTTTTTTGTTGGTGGTGGTGGTCATTTTCTCATACTGGTGACTAAATCTAGGGCTTTCACATAGAGCTAAATTCCCAGCCAGTTTTTAAAATTTTGACACAAGTTATCACTAACTTAAATTGCCTGCTTTGGGTTTGAACTTACGATCCTCCTGCCTCAGCCCTGTACAGGGCTGGGTTTGCAGGTGTATGCCACCACGCCTGGCTGAGACGCAGGCTCCATATTAGGACCTGTCCTGAATATGTGGTGGCTTTGGCTATACCTTCTCTGGCCCTCACTCCTCATCTCTAAAGATGAGAGGATGGGATCCAGCTTGCCTGAACACACTGGCGGGTCCTAACCACTTATACCTCCTGCAGCAAGTATTCATTCAACTCATCTATGTTTGAAGGATGGTAAAACTCATTTACCTTACATACAACTCTGTGTGAGCCTTTGGGAACGAGTCTCTCCTAGGGTGATGGGAAAAGCTGAGATAAAGCAAACCAATGTCTCTCCAAGGTATCTTCCCAATCTAACAGTCTATAACAGTCCATCATCTCCCATCTAAGTATAACTCTTCAAATTATCCCCTTATTCTTTGTTAACATGGCTCTGAATAAGTTTGGGTCCCGGGGAAAAGTCCCCTGGCTTCAGAGAAAGCGGACTCAGCTCCCGAGCTGAGATACACACCTAACTCAATTTTGGATAAGGAGGACTAGTGATGTAGCTAGGGGGTAGAGCGCCTGCCTCACCTGCATGAAGCTTCAATCCCCGTACTATAAACAAGCATGCATGCAAGTAAACAAACACTTTCAAAACACAAAAACTGAACCTGGCCAAGTACATGTAAGAGAAAGAAGAAGTTGCCTGGTGGGACCAGGAGAATGTTCTTCTCTGATAAACGGGAAGAGGTAGCCCAGCACAGTCGCACACGCCTGTAATCCCAGTGCTCGGGACACTGAGGCAGGAGTATCACCATGAGTCTGAGGCCAGTGTGGCTGCGTAATGAGTTCGAGGTCAGTCTAGAATGCACAGTCAAATCCTATCTCAAATAAATAAATAAATAAATAAAAAGAGACTGGTCGTGGTGGCACCCGTCTGTAATCCCAGCTCTTGGGAGGCTGTAAACAGGCGGATCACTATGAGTCCAATCTAGTAGTGAGACCCTGAAAACCCTGTAGACTCTTCCCAAAAAAAAAAGGCCTAGGGATGTAGCTCAGAGGAAAGAGCCGGGTTACAACCCCCAATACCACAAAATAAATTACCAAGGGAAGAGGAGCAAAAGGAACCATGTATCCCTCACTGGGAGGAACAGAGATTTGGATGTATGAAGACAAGATGCTTGGAGTGACAGCAGTCACTCTGCGGTCCTCAGGAAGAGAATGAGCATAGGAGGCACAACACCTGGTGAGCTGATGTCACAGACTCGCCAAGCTACAGACTCATGCCAAGGCTCCGCAGACAACTTCTACTACTTGCAGCTGAAAGTATCCCTGCCTGGCTTGGAATGTGGAGACAAATCTTTCATCACCTTTTCTTACTACTCAGCAGGAATGACAAACAAGTAAATAATGAAGCAAATGGGTTAAGAGCTACGGAACTCCCCCTTGGGAGTTGCCAGCACAGCTGGAGTCACCAGATTGTACATCTGCATGCCCAGGCAGACACTTGTAGGACACCTGACTGTACTGGATGGCACCTGGCAAGCGGGGTACAGCAAGGAGGAACAGAAGAGCAGGCCGACCTGCTGGGCCACGGAGCCTCGGAAGTCCTGCAGCTGGTCCAGCATCTGGAAGATGTCAAACGCACGCACTACCTGGATCCTCTGGAGAGCTCCTGCCTGACGGGTGGGAAGACAAGCAGAGGCCTGTGGTAAGAAGTTGGGGGAGTGGGGCACAGAGGGATCACAAGGCTGAGAAGAGAAAGGGGCACTGGGAGCTGAGCACTCAGGTCAAGAAAGGCAAAGGGGTTCTGTCTGAAGGAGCAGGTCCTACAGTGGCAGCTGCCTGGGGGCTGAACTGTAAAATCCTCAGAACTCAGTGGGAAAGACAGAGATAAATGATTAGTGATGCGCATGCTGTGAGCAAGAATGGGCTGGAAGCGCAGATGCTGGGTGCACACCTGTGCGGTTAGGGGGATGCAGGGAGTGGGCAAGGTTTCCCGGAAGAATGGTGTGGGTGGCATCCAAGCGGGGAGGAGGGCGTTCCCAGGGCAGGCTTGCAGGAAGCATCCACAGGACCACAAATCTCACAGCAAGAAACAACTCTTCTCCAAAGGGCCCCAATTCGAGCAGTGTCAGGGACATGGAGGCCTTCCACCAGGAGAATCTCGAAGGATCCCGGCCAACCCAGCCCTTACCTGATCCTCCTCATCCTGCGTTCTGCCCTGCAGCAGCTGGAGGAGGCGCGAGGCCGTCAGTCCTCCGTTGGAGTCAATGTACAGGACGTTCTGCTGCAGGCTGTGGGCCACATGGGCAGCCACACAGAGACACACCTGAGGAGAGACGGGAGGGCAGGTGAACCAGAGCCCGGGGAGAGGGCAGGCCTAGCATCAGAGAGCTCGCAGAGCACTCACACTCCAGCGGCACACAGGCCGAGGGCACGCCCACTTCTTGTCACCTGCCTGGCCTCTTCTGACCCCCAGCACTCCCCACCTCCAGTCCTCACTGCTGGCCTCATGTGTACCTGGGTTTTGCCGCTCCCAGGGCCTCCTACAATCTCAGTCACTTCTCCAGTATAGAGACCGGCATCAAGCAGTTTATCCAGGCTGATGGCAGAAGGGAAAAGAGAAGTCACGTTAGGGGGAAGAGAGAGGAGAAGAAAGGCACTGCTTCCTTCCAAGCACTGGTTGTACCCAGAGACAGCCCAGACATCTGAGGTTTCTCCAGGTAGGCTTCCTTCTGGATGTGCAGGCCCTTCAGGGACTCCAGGTCTCCACAGGGTTTCAAGGGCTCTCAGGATGCACCTGTACCTAACGCAATCACCTGTTAGGTCAGTGATGGGGACCGTAGGGCCCTGCCAGTCCAAGGCTCTGGTTCCTACTCCAGGCCAGTGTCTGCTTGGGATGCGCATGCTCCTCCTCCCCCTACACAGAAGCACCGTCTAAAGGGCGCCCGGCCTCTGCCCTGTGGGGCCCGCCTCCTCCCAGAGATCTAGGAAGGCCCAGTGGCTTTCACAGTGTGGTGCGTCCAGTGTGGCCCGCAGCCAGGAGACTCACCACCAGGGGGCACTGGTTAGAAAAGCACACAGGCACGCTCCTGCCCTAGACCCAGAGTCAAAATTTCTAGGGGTGGAACTCACAGCTGAGTCTAGCCAGAGCTCCAGGTGATTCTGATGCACCCTTAGGTTTTTTTGCAGAACCAGGGATTGAACTCAGGCCCTTGTGCTTGCCAGGGAAGAGCTTATTCCACTGAGCCATCTCCCTGGCCCCCACACTTAGGTTTGAGCACCATAGGCCTGTCATTCCCAATCCTGCCAACCTGTTACAAGAATTTTTTCTTTCTTTCTTTCTTTTTTCTTTTTCTTTCTTTCTTTTTT